TCAGAATTTGTTGTCCCCTGCTCGAAAAGTATGAATTTCTCCTTGCCTAGTATACATAAAGCACATTAGGTGCCTCATTTATGATTTCTATGCAGTAAAAGTTTCAAATAAAGGAATTCAAATCAAGAAAATTGGACAAGAAAACATTGCCAAGAGCATGTTTAGAATTCACTCCATGTTATGTGAGATAGCACCCCAGGCTTGCCCCCAAACAGTACCACTTCCACTACAAAAGGAGTGTAACCAAATTCATGGCTGAAATTTATAATTTATCTTCAATAGCAGTAGTTCGATCTGCATCACAAAAATTAATTAAATGTTCATTGTGTTTGAATTAGTATTTTCTATTATTTCCAAATCTTGGCACTCTGAAATGCTGGAAACTCCAAATTAAAAAAGTATCCAGTCAATCCAGAATAGGAACGAATTAATCCTACTGCTCTTTCAAATGAATGTTTCAGGAAAGATCAGGATCTAGTTCAAAAAATAAGGAATTAATTATTCATTTACAATATAACTTAACTTTTTTAATTTATTGACACTTTTCACATGTCATGTACATTAAAACTTCATAGATGTTTTACATGAACTTTTTGAGTGTATCTGTGCATGTGTGTGTGTTTTTGTGTGTAGATGCAAGCCCAAAATACAAACATATTGTACATACACATATATGGTGCTTCTGAAATATCTTACTAAAGCCACACTGAGTGACCCATTGATCTCTTTGGTGTCCGTGAAGGCGGAATCTCTAAAATCCCAATAAACATAGGAGGAGGGTGTAATTGCCTAATAAGACAAGATCTCTAAATTGATGATATTGAAAATCTGACAGATTTTCTACCTCCCATCAGTTTTTAAAGTAATCTAAGCTTCTCGAACCCATTAGTCGTTACTGTTACCAGATCAATACATACTCTCAAGTTCTGTAACTGTGACAGAAGTGTATGATGATACGCCCATACTATTTGGACCACCGTAACATTCTTTCTCCTATACTCACAGATATTAAGGCCCAATCTTCTTAAAATGAAAATTGCCTTCTTTGCTTTTGTAAGTTATTCCAGAGGCTATGTGTGTGTATACATTGTACATATGCATGCATTTCAATGAACATACAAGCACAAAAACAATCACACACATACACTCACTAAAGGGTGACACAAATAACAAATTGTCTACATGGACAAGGTGGTCTGTACATCATAAATACAGTATCATTAAAGACTGACTGAATTTAGTCAAAACATCAGGCAACCTATTGTGGCATAGCAGGCCAGTTCTTAGCAGACCATGGACGAGTTGTGACATCTAGAATTTGTGGCAGAAATGGAAATGGTTCATGCACACAATTTGTTTTCCACATTTCTTCATCTGACAGTAAAAACAAAGCTCATCAGAATAGTTTGAGCTTACTTGTTTACAACTGTTTTTTTAATATGTCCACTCTAGATTGAAAATGTTTGGTTCACAAGTTTACAATGCACTAAGGTTGCCCCTGTCCGTGCAACAGACCCTATCTGATTGATGAATCTTAACAATGTCATGGAGTCACATAAATAATTATAAAAATTTTATATGAGAACATTTAAAATAAAGTTAAAATAAATAAACCTTCACTACACATCTTTTAAGACAATACAATTATTTAAAAACTAAATAATTCTTTGTACAATTGGCCCAAAAAATTTCTGATCTTCAATTTGGCCAAAAAGGCTTTTTTCCCCCTACTGTTTTGATTAAAATATAATATAGAATTGGTTTGTTTAATAAAATACCCTATTGTTCCTTTTAAATTACAACTAGCTTTATTTGTGAAAATTGTGTATTTAAAAGAAAAATCTCAAACTAATTTAAAATTCATTGTTTAAATAATGAGAGGGTACTTTTGTGGCAGGTTTGTTTTCATTGATTTTTCCATATAATGAGCAAAAATAGTTTACTTAACAATTAAATATTTTTTTTCCTGTTAAAAATCATATTTTACCCTCCTTTCTTCTGCTTCATCCAGAATGATTTCCAATACCACAAAGCAACAAGACAGGGGTCGCAAAAGGAGCTTAATGCCACATATGTCCAGCACAAGGGCAAAGTGTTTTTAATTTTCCATTATCACCATCTTCTCTGGCGAGATGGCATTCCTGTCCTTTCTGATTTTGCACACTGAAAAATTTTGTTTGAAGCATTTTTCTTGAGTTTACTTAAGTTATAGTGCTTTTAATGTGGATGCTAAGTTTTACACTTAATCAAATTTTATTATTTATCCATCAAGTTTCAACACACAGCATTATATAAAATTTGTATAAGATTTCAATTGCATGGAGTTTATAATTTTAAATGTTTATTACATATTTATTTAAATAGAACTTAAAATGAAGGAAAACTTGTTATTATAATCCGTTCTTGGTAATTAAAAAAATTGTTAATAGGCAGTCATGTAACCTCAAAATTAAACACGCATTTAAACCATAATGTTCATACATAACTTGATGCAGCAATTGTCAGGGAGATCACTAGTCAATTTTATTGAGAATATTATTAATATGTGCACCATATGGTCATGAAACATATATTCATAATTTTTAAATTGTAATGGATAGTGCTAGTAAAGTGAAATTGTAAATATAATTTTTTTACCTTGAACCATGGAGCGAACTCTGACATGGTTCTTTGTTTTCACCTGGACACTATAAATGGTGGTTCTATGATTTTTCTTTCCTTTTTGAAGTTGAAATGGAGACAAATCTAAAAGGTAAGCAGTTAATGGCTCTATGAATACCACAGAACAGATAAATTATGTGTTTGAAGTATTTCTAATAAGAAATTCTACTACGGGACTTCATTATATAAAAATTAACATTTTAATATATATTTATAGCAATGATGTTTAAAATATTTGAATTTGAGAAATAATTGAATTTCGAACTATGTTAAAATGAATAATCAACTTTTAAGGGTCTAAACTCACGTAAAAAAAAATTATAAAAATTTTTGTGTTACTACTCAGAATTTTGGGTTATAAAAATAAAAAGTCTGAATTTGTGCATTTCAGAATCACTGTTTTAAACATTTCTATTTATGTTGTCTCTTGTTTATATACATTTTTTGAATTACAAAGAAACCTAAACTGTCAACAAAATTCATATATATCCCATTTTCATAAAAAAATTAATTTTCTTACATTATATAGAGGAAAACATGGTAATACAGGACACGCTTGAACAATGTCATCTGTCTGTGGATCAGCCACACCACTTGTAAAATTGCCCTCTTGTCACTTAAGTAACTTGCAGTGAGACACGTGGCACCTACAGAAGAGGATATTTTTGTTCGCACTCGTGAAAACTTTTGTGAGGTAAAATTTGACCATTTCATTTCTAAGGAGACAAAAGAGGGTGGCTTAATGTATGGATGCAAATAATAGACATGTAGTTCTTTGCAATTCACTATGTACACCTAACATTGCAATTATACATGAAAATATGATAGTTGTAAACAGAAATAGCAACTGGTGGTAATCTGGGACATACAAAATACCATCATCCTATATTGCAATCCCATCTTTGCCCACAGGTTTCTAAGACGTGAAATCATTTTGTGATGCCTAGAGTGAAGCTAGGGCCAATTCCTCAAGGGAAAAGGAACAAATGGAATGAAGCAGACATGACTAATGTTGTCAAAGCAGAGGAACAACAGAATGGCACAGACTTTCCCATATTAATTTTCAATTTCCTTTGGTCTCGGCTAGCTATTTAAATTGCTACATACTCTTGCCACCTGCCATCTATTGCTGCCCAAAATACTTTTTTTTGAAATTTTCATAGTTGTTCCGTTTCCTAATAGTAAAACAGAAGTATTATTTTAAGAATATTCAAGAATTGTAAAACCTCAACCAAAATGGCAATTTTATTTGAAAAATTTGGAGCCATTTTTAAGAAAATGGTGTTTAATAGATACTGTAAATTCAAAATTGAAAGCCTTTTTTCAAAGAACATTTTTGGTTTTCCGGAAAACTTCCAGAAGCCATTTTAAGTACATTAAGCCATTTTAAGTACTTTACCTCACAACTACAATAGTGTTTACAAATTGCTTGAAATGTGCATATTAATGGCATGAGAGATCTTAAGAAAAATTACTTTTCTGTAAATAAATTTGAAAAAAAAAAACAACAACAACCCCAAAGCACTTTATGTCATATTAAAGACTGCAATTAGCACTATCTGTTCGAAAAGTTTAAAGAAAGCATTTGGAGCCATTTTTAAGAAAATTTTGTTTTTGTTAATCTTCAAAATTGCATATATTGCATGAAAATGACTAAAATTTTCAAAAATATGTATATGACTTTAATGAAAGAACTCACTATGGAGAACAAATTTTATTGGAAGTATAAATCTTCCTATTCAATTTTGTAGTTTTAGGAAGACACCTGAAAAATTTCAAAATTTTCGTAACAATCGAGTTAACCCTGAAAATTGAACCACACTATCTTTATAAGTTTATTTTACTTTATTTTTTACAAGAAATTTAAAGGAAAAATTTGAATTTTTGAAAAATTTGAATTTTTGAGAAAATTTTGAAAATATCTGGGAAACTTCATGTAAAGTACCTCCAAATTTTGACGAAAGTTTTTCGAAAACGCAGCACCTCCAGTCGTGCCAGATCGACCAGGATATATCCATCTTGGAAAAATTCTACATAATGTTTAGGCGCTAGTGGTGTTCACAGGCAGACGGGCGTTTTGAAAAAAACAATACTTTTTTGGAATATATATATATATATATATATATATATATATATATATATATATATATATATATATATATATATATATATATGAATGAGAAGAATGGATTTTACGTGTCAAGACTCGGGTCATCAGGCCCGCTCTTCCGTCAGACCACGCAAATTTCGTAACGCTCCTTTCCCACCCACTAGCGGAGAAAGGAGGTATTATTCGAGCGACGAAACAGGCGATTTGAATTTAGCGCAGGGGCTTCATTTAGGCTTGAGGACCTTTTAGATGCAGTAAACTACTAACATGGGACAGCCGGCTTTACTTCCCCTCCGAGGTTTTTCGCCCTACACATCCACGGCTTCGATCGGGTTTGAACCCGCGAATTGGATAGAACAGTCCGATACACTAACCGTTACACCATCGCCAGAAGTAGTGAAACATTTGTTAATAATTGAGAGCAAATTTTCTGGTTTAACGAGAAATGACGTCCAGCGATTGGCAATTAGCGGAAATAAACCAGATAAAACATCCTTTTGTGGGTGGCATGGCCGGTAGAGCTTGGTTCGATCATTTCATGAACAGATTCAAGGGCCAACCGGCGATTAGAAAACTGTGGAACATCCATAGCTCGAGCTAAGGGTTGCAAAAAGGAAAATGTGAAAACATACTTTGATATTTTAGAAGCTGCAATGGACGAACACCACTACCCAGTTGATCAGGTGTTTAATGTTGTTGAGACAGGTCCCGCGATAGTGCAGAATAGACTGCCTTATGTTGTTGGTCGTACAGGAAAACGGCAAATCGTATCTTCACGTGCGGCCGAGAGAGGTTCACTTATAACTTATTGTGTGTATGAGCGCGGGAGAAACTTTCGTTTCACTTATGATGATTTTTCCTCGCACAAATTTGACCGATCGCCTCTTAAAAGGAGCTCCACCAGAAACCATCTGGGTTTGTCATCCGCCAGGTTGGGTACAAAGCTCTCTATTCACCAAATGGTTTGTACATTCCATTGCAAAAACAAGACCATCCTCTGAATCCCCAGTGCTGCTGATTCTTGATGGACATTTTTCCTAAACACGAAATCTCAAAGCTATCCTTATCGAGAATCGTGTCAACTTTCTATGTAATCCTCCTCATACTTCACAGAAAATTGCATGCTCTTGATAAATCAAATATGGGACCACTAGAAGCTCACTACAGTGAAGAGGTTTGTGAGTAGATTTGCCAATCCAGCAGTCATCTCAACATATGACATTGCTGACCTGTTTGGCAGAGCTTACTTGAAGGTGATGACAGGAGAAATTGCTGTGAATGGATTTCGAGATACTGGCATCTGCTCAGTAGACAGAACTGTGTTTGCCAAGTAGACAGAACTGAAGCCAATTTTATCACATTGCGAATTGAAGCGGAAAAGGTATTTGCTATGGAAGATGACAAAACAATGATGTCCAAGTAAAGAAGAAGAAGAAAAATGAGAGAGAAAACTCAAGATGAGTCCTCAAGATATATCTCCAGGGCCAGAATCCAAAAAGAAGACCAATCACGGCTGCAAAGTTGCATCTGCCGCAATTTTGACAAACTCACCATACAAAACTGCTTTGGAGTCATCTCTTCAAACCCGTGAAAAGAAGACCAATTCAAAGAATTGGAAGAGAGAAACAGAGACATTTATTGCAGGGTCCAGCAGAAAACCTCTGAAAGGACTGCAGAAGAAGAAGAGCGTTGCAGCACAGATAAAGTTGATTGTCAATGATGAAACTGATGAACAAGATGATCACCAGTCAATTTCTTCAGATGACTAATTTATCAGTGCCCTTGGGGGGTTCAGGCTCCAGTTGACAATAATGTGGAGTGAATGTTCTGCTATCAGAAGTTCAATGATTCAAAGGCTGGAGAATCTTGGTTGAATGTGTAAAATGCAGGAAAAGGGCTCACGTAGTGTTATGGATGTGAGAAAGACTGAAGTGTGTGTGATTTCTGTTCACTGTGAAATCTTCAAGTTGTACTTAGTGTTTTCCTAGAAATAACTTACAATAAATTATGTTGTCAAGAATGTTGTATTCCCCCGGTTTGTAGTCTCCATTGTTCCCAGTTTACGGTCAGTAAAAAAAACCCTCCATATTACCACCTCCACTCAATTCTCATGAGAAATATGGTTATCATTAAAAATGAACAATTGTTTATTTAATGAAACAAATCAATTCAATCCTGTTTTAAATACATATAAAATACAGACAAAACATTTTTGGCCATATTGAAGCTGGTTGAAAAGATTTTGAAAAATTAAAAATATCCCAAATATGTAATACTAAATAATACAATTATTTATAGAGATAATTACATTCAATAATATCAAGATAATATTCTAACCAAGTACACATAAAAGATAACAAAGCACTAACATATTATACATTGACAATTACTCCTGGAAATTTTGTAGAATCTACTATCATGTAACTATTTGACTTAAGCCATTATGGTCCGATAATCCAGACACAGCAATTGAACTGGTGTCTATATTTTCTTCCTCTAACTGTTGTTGTACTTCTAGAAAACATCGGGTTACTTCATCTTCATTTTCTCCATTACACTCTTGATTGGGAATCTGAATAGTAATTGTCTGCATTGTTCCATCCGCAGAAGTACTACTGCCTGTAACGTTTGCTTCTACATTAGCCCCATCAGATAGAGCATTCAGACACCGATATATGAGCTGGGCAGCAGCAACATTGCCTGGGAATACCTCAACATCACTTCCTCCACCTAAAATTTAAGCAAAACAATTCTGTACATTCTATACTGAATAGTACTAGTTCAAATCTTCCAAATGTATTATTTACATACCATCACTGCAAGTGTTGATAATGCCATTTTTGTGATCTGCTACGTGAAGTAAATAGCCTTCATGACTTACAGTCTTAAATGAACACTGACCGCATGAGAAAACTCCACTCTGCCCAGGATGCTTATTACGCAAATGGTTTTTGTAGGAGTTGCTTTGTATTGCACTGTATGGGCAGTGAGGGCATCGGTAAGGACGTTGGCCAGTGTGGCGCATGATATGCCGCCTCAGTGAGTTATGGTCACCAGTGCGATAATCACAAAGGGGACAAGTATGCGGCTTCTCTCCAGTGTGCTGCCGATAATGCAATTGCAACATTGCTTTGCGAGCAGATGCATGACCACATACCTAATGTGAAAAATATACACAAATATTAATGGATTCCACTACACATATCAAATGTTTCACACACAATTTCAAAGGTAAGTTTCTGTACTAACTCCACCTTGAAAAGAGTTGAAAGGGGACATGTAAAACAGTTTACTAGCCTTACGAAAAAACTTCTTAATGACTGGACAAAAACTAATATTGAAACATACTAAAACTAAATTATTAACAAGGAAAAGTTGACTGCTTTGTATTATGGAATTTAGTAACCCTATTACATCGCTCTTAGGCTACTGATATGCATGATAATACCGGATTTACCTGAACATAAGTCAACTCTGAATATAAGAGGACACCCTAATTTTGTAGCAGTCTCCTGAAATTATTAAAGATATTTTAAACTAATTCTTACAATACAGTCATAGTAAAATTGCAAAGTCTAATTCACTGGAAAATTGTTTTGATGAGAATGTTGTCGCAACAATGAATAAATTACAATTGCCTGACCAATTACTACTTCCCTGTGGCTTAAAATCACCTTAATCATTTCTCTTTTGTCAGTTTTTCAAAAATATTAGAGGTTTTACTACATGCAAATGGACACTTTTCTCTGGAAAACAAATCATTTTCAGACACTCAATATTGATTTAGAGAATCAAACAATGGAAACTGCCATTTTTAATTTTCTTAAAGATGTTGCTTTATCAGTGTACCACAATGAAGCACCTATTGGAATATTTTTAGATTTTCAAAAGCTTCTGACATCATTGACTGTAACATTTTGCTCTCAAAATTACCATCATACGGAATTCATGGTATTGCCCTACATTGGTTATTTTCACACTTTAAGCATTAATTGCAAAGAATAGAAATACCACACTGGCATGAAAGAACATTATATCTACTCATCTTTCCAATTCTTTGCTAACTGAACATGGGGTTCAGCATGTAACCCTCTCTTCATTGGGCTTGGTATCTTACCACTGGTAATTTTTGTCAAAACTGACTTCCTTAATAGTGAGAACATATTTTCATGCAATACTGATGTATAATTACAACACACTTCATAGAAATTACATTTATCAGGTGTCAATATCAAAAGTTCACTACAGGAAATTCACATTTAAGCATGTATATTACTTCACAACACATTGACAGATGACACTAAAACAATTACAATCAATATACAAATTTTAAGTTCAAAGTAAATCTTTTCTGGTGCATAACTGTTTCTATCAATTAGATACTACACTGACCTTCAAAAAGAAAATTAATATTTATTTTAACAATGATACATAAAACATGAGTTTACATTTGTACTGTATAATTTTAAGAAGACTTAATATGCCTGTAACACGTAATGTACATCAGCTTTTGGATTATTGATCCCCATGTTGATAAAGTTTTTGGCCAGTTTCCCTAATATATTGAGCAAATGCAGAGATGGCTTCTTGTTTTGTTTCTGGATATAAATGTAGCATTTCTATGCACGAGAATGATTAAGCTCTCATTTTGCTAATAGTGGCAGGAGTAGAATTGGGGCTATAGGTTATAATAATTATAAGCTGTATATTTATAGGCACTAAAAACAGCAGAAATAGGTAGGCAAAATAGACATTTAAAATTGTAAAATAGGTATTTAAAAAGGCACTACAAGTTTTTCTTGCTCTTATTTGTATACTTATGTAGTAAATTTCTGAAGTACACATAATCTAGTTTCCTTCTTTGAATTCTTGTTTTCATCATTGTTCTGAATAAAACTTGGTACAAATCCTTAGTATCATTGTTGGAGAAGAAAAGCTGAAACGCAATACCTAACTTTTTTGCTTTTTATTAAATGCCTACTGGTACTCTTATACAGCACAATATGTTGCTTTTCTCACATTTAATTTAAACATAATAGAAAACATTGTATTATTTGTTTTAATCTCCATGCATAACACAAATGCTGTCACTAGTGGAGCTACAACAGCACAAACTTTCTCACACTATTTGAAATTGCAATTTGGCAATTTTCGAAAATTCAGTGTGTTCAACAAAAATGAAAACCCGTGTCACTCTTTTAAGCGTCTCTTGTTTTATCGGTGAAAAGAATTTTGAGCAGTTTTTGAAAAAATGTTTTTTTTATAATTTGCATTCATTTCAAACAGAAATCATGCAAAAAATACTTATTTCAAATAATTGTACATGACCTTTTCTAGATTTCTGTTTTTTAGAACAAATTTGAAAACAAAAATCTCTATCATCAATATTGTACTTTTGCAGTGTTATCTTTTTGCAATGATCTAAATTCAGACTGCCAAAAACGAGACCAGCACCACTTTTTATAGTCCTTTAATACAAAAGAGGGGGGAATTTAAAGAAACAATTTGGAGTCGTTTTTGAGAAAAAAAGGTTTAGAAATCTCGTATCTTTCATGCAAATTCACGCAAAATATCTCATCTTTTCAAAAAATTATACATGACCATATTTCAAGATGTCTTTAAAAAACAATTTCATTAAGAGAAAAATCAGTATCTTCAATATTGTAGTTGTAGGAAATGCTGAAAAAAATTTGAACCTTTGCAATTTTTAAAAAATTCAGAGATTTCAACATAGATTTATTGATAGTTGGTAAGAAGTGGCTTCTTTCTAGGACAACGTGCGACAAGACCTCACAAAAAAGACATCTTCTCACAGTTGTCCCACTAGCTTTCACTCCAGAATGTTTCTCCTATTTCATTTTTTGATCTGTGAATGATTAGCAATTTTTCAAACACAGTCACTTCAACATTATGTCTTGTGGTGACATTGAAAGATGCTTCTGACCACTTCCACTCTTCTTGTGACAAACACCAGTTTTCATGCAGGCCATTTTATGGGTTGAATACCCTTCCTTGAAAAACGCAACAGCTATACTCTTCTTCCTTGGTGTCAATTGCACCATTGTGCATTTCACCATTGCGCACACTGCAAGGGCTGAATGAAAACTGACTGCGTGTGACTAATGCCATCCCTTTACACCTGAAGAAAGGGCTGATGCAATCCCTGACACTCGTTATGCAAACTGAAGAAATGTGGAAAGGTTTTCAGATGAAAGAGAAAATGCTAAATAGGTTTTCGAAAGAAACTTGAATTAAGAAAATACAGAATGTCCGTTTTCTTTAGGTGGTGTGGTTTTTTAGCACTAGTATATATTCCCCTTTAACACCTTACAGCTTCAGAAAACATCCATCAAGAGGGAAGCTACCCTTACTGTCCAGAAGAAAAACAAGGGGCAAATTGTATTATGACATTAATTATAACATTATAATTATTGTATTATAACATTATAATTATTGTATTATAACTGCAAATTGTATTATGTATTATGATAAAGTCGATTGGCATAAATAAATAAATAAATATCAGCATGTGCTCAATACATCAGGGGAAGCTGGATGAAAAACCTCATTGATATGAGGGTCTTCAATCCAAAAGTTGAAGTGCAATACTAGATACAGGCATATTCTGTTTTTCAGCATCGTACTGAATTTCACTATCAGTGATACATCATCCAATGAATTTGGTTGAACAGTAGTGCATAACACACTTTTTTAGAGCAAGATACTTTGGACACAAATCCAACATTGAATTATTTGAGAAAAAAAATTTCAAAGTGATATTCTCAGAACCGCATTTCTTACCACATTGCCTTTTTCATTCACCATTTAAACGATGACTACTTTGAAACGTTGAAAATATTTTGGGTATGAACATTTAAAAATCCTAATATTTCCTTGACTTTTCCAATGGATAACAAATTCCCTAACACTTTTGAAGCTTTTTAGAACTCCGATTCAAGAACAGTATTGTGTGCAGGTGCAGGTTAATCAATAAACATATTAAGAACAATTAGTGCAATATGGCTGCTGAAATTAAACATTTTTAAAAAACATAAGCAACTATTCAATCCGGATTGTGAAATGCGTATAGGTTAGTTTTCCTCACCTGACATACGTATGGTCGCAATTTACTGTGTACAGCTTGAATATGTTTCTTCAGGCATTTTGAATTGGCGTAATTTTTAAAACAGATGTTACACTGCTTAGATGCATACCTAGAAAAAGTAAAAGTTTTCAAAGGATACAATGTTACATCTTGTACACATATTCTAATAATACAAATAACAATAACCTTAAACGTATAAAGAGAGAAATAATTATCTTAAAACCAGCAAATACTGATATAACATATTTACCAGCGCGGTAGTTCACTGGTTTTGCGATCCAAATGCATAACACGATGGTTATGAAGTTGAGCAGCTTGTTTGAATCCTTTGCCACATTCAGGACAGGTGAAAGACCGAGCTTCTCCATGAATTCTCATGTGGTTTTCCAAAGGAACTGATGTAGCAGTCTTATATTTTAAACAAATAGGACAAGTAAGAAGACCGCAGTCAATATTATGAACTTTCCACAGATGCATAGCACATGACCGCCAACGTTCAAAGGGGGCTTGACATTCGCAGCACCGAAAATCCCGACAGTTTTCAGTATCAGTATGGCAACCAACATGAATTTGAAGATCCTTCTCTTCACTAAATTTGCTTTGACACCCACGAACCGCACATCTGAAAGGAAGAAAATGTTTTGAAACAAAACTTTAAAATAAGGTTATTTCAATGTTGTTTAACTGTCATTTAGACTCGTTAAGAAATTGGTCAGCATTATTTTAACATTCACAAGCATACACTGAGTTTAAATATACACAACCAGTTCAATAAAATCACTAACAAAAAGAAAGAAATAAAACTCAAATAAATGCAAGTTTCATAAAAATTAATTCAATAAAAACATAAATAAAATGGACATCAAACCACATGTACAACGACAAGGAAGGAAACAAACATTGAGTTGATGTAATGAGTATAAAACTTCTTGTTTAACTGTGTTAAGTTAAAATAATAATAATAATAATAATAATCATACAATAAACTTTTAAATCTACCGGGTGTAAATAAACATGCCAAATATTTCAAGGATGCTTCCCAACATAAAAAGACAGGGAGGAAAAATATTTCATTTGAACATGGGTCTGCAATACCTCCATTTCAAAGTTAAAGGACCTCACAGCTAACATCAGGATACCCAGTATCAGGATATTAACTTCAAATACAGGAGTTGCATAAATCAACCACTTCCAAATGTCCCCACAGAAAAAATCAATCATCAATAAAATGGTACCAAAACGATCTTCAATAAATTCCCCATGGACAAACCATCTTTGCAGACAATGATTATCCAAATGCTCACAAACTGTTTAAAGTGGTTATGAACGACATCCCCAAATGTTGAGAATGTACCTCAGTTTATAATGCTTTTATAAAAGAAATAACACATTCTATTCTCAATGAAAAGTTATTGTTTTTTTTTGGACATAATTTCATATTTTTGATTTAAGATTTATAAGTGACAGAATTCAATTTATGTGATCTTTCTAGGTCAATTTTGAATGCAATGTAATTCCTAAATATTAATTGACGTGCTTCGGGGAAGACATTGTAATCTCTTCATTAATAACTAAGAATATATACAGATCATAAAAATGAAAAAAATGTTGCTTTTGATTTTGAGAGTTAATCTTCATCCTTTATTTTCTAGCCTATTTTGAGTAAGTTTCTAGATCATTTTGGAGGTAATCATATATTCGCACTATATCATTGTGTGAAGTAAATCATCCATGAAACGCTAATTGGGTATCTTGGAGTTGAGGAATATCTGACAAATATTGTATACTAAAAAGAAGAGGGGAGAAACAGGAGCCCTGAGGGACTGTCGCATGAACTGAAAATTGATTAGAAAGAGTAGAACGTATTCTTACTAAACAATGTCCATTTACACGAGAACTGGAAATTAACTGATTAAAATAATATGGTTAACCCAATGCTCATAACTTATCTACCAATCCAGCATGACCAACATTATCAAATTATTTTTTCATATCCAACAAAACCACTAGTGTGTCGTTTTTCTGATGGTGGGCACTTGTTATTTGTTTAGTTAACCTGACAGACTGGTGAATTGTAAAATGATTGCTTCAAAAAGCAAACAGAACACCTGGAACTGCTTTGATTTGAACGAGGTATTTGTTACGCCTAATTAGAATCAACTTTAGAAAAATGATTGGACTTATTGGCTTGTAGCTGTTCAGTAGACACTAGTCTTTTTCCAGTTTTCAAAATGGAAGTAGAATGGTCGTTTTCCAATAAAATATGCTAATATCAATGCTTCATTAAATATTGAAGACAACGCAGCATCTTCTGTTAAGTTCTTTAAGGGCTTTATCATTGGTTTTATCATATCCTACATATTTTCAATTTTTCAGCACTTAATTATCTTTCTTGTTTCAGGAAAAATAACTTTAATTTGTGATGGGACTGTTAAAACTTGTTTGTTTCCTTCTTGTTCTATAAAGGCTTTATTGTGAACAGGGTTTGGTGTGAACATATCTTTAAAGGGTTGAGCTATTAAATTTACTTTCTTAACATCTGTGGATACTAAACCTGTGTTACATTTTAGTATTGAAATGTCAGATTTTTCCTAGCATATTTGCTTAATATTACACTGTTAAGATGAATTTGTTTGATATTCATTAATGCAATATCAATCTAATTTGGGTTTGATAATTCCAGTGATTTTATTTAACTTCGTTTTTAAACATGACCAGTGAGTAAATTGTCAATTTTGTCTTAAATTATGATTACTTTTAATAAAATAAATAACTTGATAAGGTACAGATTCAACTAAAATGGTATCCTTGATTCGATAATACCATTTTAGATGGATGTATTGATTCTCTCAGAGATTTTTGAATTGTGAGTGTAGTTATCAATGTGCTTTTCTAATTCCATAATAGATCTAAAATTAATAAGATATATTAAGAGGAAGTACATTTGTTCTTTAAGTTTATCCCAATTTATAAGACTTACAATATTTTTTAATATTTATAAATACAAAGAGAAAGAAATGTTCAAAGTTTGCATGACATATTATTATTATTATTATTATTATTATTATTATTATTATTATTATTATTATTATTATTATTA